TGAAATCAAATGGGAAAAGATGGAAATTCTAGCCAGGAACTTGACAGTGTGGAAAAACAGAATTCTCAGAGAAGCCCTAGAAATCCAGAAACATAAGCCTAAATTAAACAGAGACTCAGGACATTTTCTCCCAAATCTATGGGTAGATTTACTCAATCCCTAATTACTGTGTGGTTAATGCCCCCCCCCCCCTGCTAAATGGTTTCCACCTATATATTTGTACTGGTTCTTTACTTGTGGTCATTGGTTTATCGTATAAATGGTTTCAAATTGTGATCTTTGATCTGGTTAATTAATTGTTGTTGTTGTGTTATCTGCTTAATGGTTTCTACCTGTTGTCTACATATTATATCTTTCATCTTGTTAATTATTTTGTTGTTATTGTTGTATCTGCTAAATGGCTTCCAAAGTAGTTATCTATATATTGCACTACGTTTTTGTTAATTAATCCTTGTCTGCGATATCACTTATGTGGAAGCAGACGTTAAACACCAAGAACTACTACTACTGTTAATTAATCATTATTTGCTTGATAAAGATACCTGTATGAGTATTGAAACGTAGCATGTTAATAAAATTCAGAAGTAGTATATCCATATTAGTGTGTTATTTTTTAGTGAAATCTATTTCTATATGTCTTATAAGGATTAAATTAATAATGTTTTTTATAAAATGGTAAATAATATAGCCCCAAATTATCTTTGTTGTCTCATTCTGCCAAATACCTCTTCTTACAACTTATGCATTTCCGACCACATTACACAAATTAAATGTAAAACTAATAATTATAAAAACTCCTTTCTAATATAAAAACGTGGAATATTTAGATAATGAAATAAAAAAGGCTTTGTCTGTCTCTGATTTTAAAACTAAATTGTATCCAACCTTATTTTCCGAAATCAACAAACTGTTTTTCTTTGGTGAACGACAATTTCAAATTATCCATTGTAAACTGCGTAACAATAAAAGTGATTTAAGATACCATAAGTTCCTTATGCATATATATGACAATCTTCGATGTAACTGTGATCTCGACCTTGAAACCATTGAACACTCAGTCCAAACCACAAACTCCAGCGAAATAACCATTCATTTATTACCAATGTTGTTCAGAAATATTACTTGCCTACTCTACGGTAATGCCAAACTATTTCTTGACGTCAACACCGATATTTTTAAAAATGTTTACAAAAATATCAAACTTACAAAACGTTTTACGTGTAGCCAATGGTTACTATATCAACTTCACGGCAAGTTCACACCAATCTGATTGAAATTAATTCAGTTATCTTCACTCAAAGTCGTAAAAATAGACCTCCCGTAAAAACGACTTTGCCAATTATCGAAAACACACAGTGACCGAATGCATATTTGGATGATTATTCCTTAATTACCTATATACAGCCGGCGTGTGTATTCATAGTAACGCCTGACAGATTCCTTAATCCCCCTAATTAAATAAAACAATTGACTACGGAATAATTTGTTTTGTAATTCATTTTAATTTAAGATCCAATTTAGAATTTGTTTCATAATTAACGGTCGCTCTCGTTTCTCACAACAGCAATTTTAATACCCTCTAACTTCGTGTGCAGTCTAATCGATTCGAGATACATTTTCGTCAAAAGAGTATTGTGGTTCTAATTTTGCTGAGTAAAAGAGTACAGGAGTAAAAAGATGTTGTCATACAAAATGTATCATAAAAGTCAAACATCATTGAAAAGCGATTTGTAAATGACGATCCGTTATCATCGTACGGCGGATTTGACTTCATTAATCTGTAATAGACCGTAAAAATGAAATACGAAAAACTATCTCAATATACGTTAGAATTAACAGTACAAATAAATTTTGTTGGTAACCATCTAGACAGATTGAGAAGGGTCATCTAACTATCTTTGTGTATTGATAATAATATGGCAAGTAGTGTCGGTAATATCTGTCATTAATTAATCAATCCTACTAAAGTTATACAGACTTGGGGTCATAAATTAATTTACATCTCGGTGTTAGCAGTGATTGTTAGTGGGATTAAGAATGCTGATTAGGTAATAACTTTTTTACGCCGGCCAGATCAAAGACAGCACTCTAGGTGGAACGTGTGCGTAGTACCCACAAATGAACTAATCGTAGAATCGTACACACACATATTAACAGGGTTCCCGCGGCTTCGTCAAACATTTTTTCAAGGATATTCAAGGATAAATATACGTCAAATTCAAGGATTTTCAAGGACATTTCTTAGCCTAAAGTTACAATTTTTCATCTTAAAAATAACCAAAACATTACCAACTATCGTTATAAAACTACTAATCTAAACGGGATTTTCATATCAACTTACTATTATTACCAATTTGAAACAAAATTAAGGATCTCAACTGAAATTCAAGGATATTTTCCTATTTCCGTGAAATTCAAGGATATTCAAGACCTTGAAAATGAAATTTTAAATTTAAGGATATTCAAGGATTTTCAAGGAGCGCAGGAACCCTGATTAATTGTATAAAATAATTAAGTTTTACTCATCAGTTGTTTATAATTATTATTTACCCAATAGTTATTGCTCACCGGTGTTTTTGTAATCAAGTAGCCTCGTATTATTTGTTGACTGGCGTTTAAACAATATTTAATTGACTTGATATGAAATCTGAATAAAAATTATTCGGGTTTTAAACTTTTGTGATACGATTAGGTTATAATGTTTAACATCGTTATCTTCTTTATAATTAAAGTATTTTACAATTGCATTGACAGTTTAATCACTCACCAAACGGCATCAGGAACTCCGCATATGATCAAGTGTATTTGATATTCATGTCCATGAATCCCATGCAATTTTCGCGCCAAAGATTAACCTCAGTTACTACGTCTGTAGTGCATGGAACAACATTGCAATAAGATTCCCAGCGTTGATTGGCTGAGAAATGAGGGCGATCTATGCATGGTCATCGGATATCAAGTATTACGGGGTTATCCAAATTACCGGTAAATGCGCTAATTGCTTAGGTCGTCTTCAGTTGTCCCGGGGCCTATTTAAACAATGACACCTTAAATGAATCTACGGCATGATACAGCATTTTAAATTCACTCTAAAATATTCCAATCACAAATGTCTAATCTATAAGAACGCAAGATGATAATTCGGTGATTATGCCAGTCACATGTTAATTGGACTGACACGTACACACTTGTCAACTGGTGGTGTGTATTGTATAGATAATGTATATAGTATGTGTAGTGCCTGTGACGTCACCAGCCAATCAACCAGATTAAGGTTGTAATTGAAAATTTGAAAAACGTTTTTGGCTTTCGCATACTTAAACCTCAATAGCTGAATTAATTTTAATCAGATTGGTTTGAACTTGCCGTAAAATGGATATAGTAACCATTGGCTATAAGTACATTCAATTGAGATTTTTAATCTTATGTGGTCTTTAAAATACAACCTTGTGTTGAGGAATTAATTTACAATTACTTAGATCTATCAACTTATTTGTATCATAACTAAAATACTGTAATATCATACATTGTATTATTTGAAATTGTACATAAGTTGAGGAATTAATTTAAAATTACTCCGATCTATCTACTTAGGCCTATTTGTATCATAACTAAAATACTGCATATCATACATTATATTATTTGAAATTGCATATATATTATACATCCAAACCTAGATAACACATCTCATCTCTCAACCCTCCGTGTTTCGAGATGAGAGTTGTTCCTATTAACTTCAACGTAGCACCTCCCGGAGTGATTCACTCCCGCTAGTTTTAAACACAATTGACAATATTTTTCATCAAAACAATGATTGATTATTGTTATTTATAATATTTCTGCCACACCAAACTACAATTAAGCATATAATCCTACCTGAAACGGGTACAAATCGTCGTATTTAAAATCGAGGCGTTAAACCGTTACTAAGACTGCCATCTTTTTAAATGGAATACGTTTAACGCTGTGATCATGAAGGCGGGGCTAAATAGAAGGCTTTTATAACAGCCAATCAAAAAGGCAATCGAAAGTGGAGAACATGTCAACACACAAAATGACATCCACATGTTATATCCACGAATCATTACAGAAAATAAAATCAAATTACGGCGATAATGTTGAATTAAAACCCGAACAAGAAACTATTTTAGATCTGATAATAAATCGCAAGAAGGATGTTTTTGCTTTATTACCGACAGGATTTGGCAAATCATTGAATTATATATTAATTCATTTGATTTTAAATGAGGTAAAAGGGGCGTGTAGTGTCGGCGCATGTCTAAAGCACTGTAAACTATGACGATTAAGATGGCGGCGTATGTCAGACAAAAACAACGCTTCATTAGTTGTGCCACAACATTGGCCTATGTAAGTTTAATTAGTCATAATAGCATAAACTTATCTTATTTTAAAGATGTTACATGCATTAATAAAGAAATTGAGTTTGCCACTTGGAACTAAAGGCATCCAATCGTAGATAAACAAACAAACACATCAGTATATCTCAACGTTTTTAACTACGTTCTCTTAGCTAATCCAAACCAGGAGGAAGCAGATTATTATAAGCCTACTTGGCATGTTTACTTTATGCCTTTATTTGTACAATATTTTCGAAAAAAAATACTGTTTAAACCAAATGAAATATAATAGATTTGTTGCAATCAACCCCCCCCCCTCTCTCTCTCTCTCTCTCACTCAGTTCATTTATCAGACCTATACATAAGTTTATCATGTTGGCTGGGTGGTAATTTCGCTTTCACTTCACCCTGCAATGGCAAAAGCCGAAAAGGCTTGCCTCGGGCCTAATTTGATTCCTTTTTTGTGTGTGCACTGACAGTCTGCAGGGGTTCCAACTAAATATTTGCGAAAGCAATGCTGCAATCATTAATATATTCGCTGAAATACAAACACATAGTTCAAACATCGATGGTTAAAGGGCTTTTAAATAATAATATATAGGCTTAATAAACGTCAAAGTTAAAATAAATATTTTTCTTTACTTCCATTGACGCCATATTTGATGTTGCACTTTGTTTTCGTTTATTTTCGTAGTAAAATGTAAACATGATTTTATAACATCGCTACTAAAGGATATTTCCAACATTAAATGACGCATTGTATATTTAACAGCAAACAGTGTACGTTATTATATAATATACTTCACCGTTGTTCATATATATTTTTAAAAAGTAGGCATAAGTTTTATTATACGAAAAAGAAACTTACATACCAGTTGTAGACGGTAATAACCAGACACAAGATACACCGCACACCTATTTTTATATCGAAGAACTCGAAGTCTGCCTATGACGAAAATGGCACCAGTTAACGTTAGACTGAATCCAGTCGGATTCGTTGTGTTCCTGGTATTAGGTCTTTCTCTGGCATTTTACATATTTGGTCTACCGAAATGGTTCAGGGAGGAAGAGAGAGTAAGCATGAGGGAAGTGCTCTCAGTTAGCATAGATTTAGCACAACGTGGAGGAATCAAAGTGAAAGAGGTGGCCGAGATGCATAAACTCAATCCAGTATCAAAAGGCAAAACGAAAGAAGGAAAAGATGAGCTAAAGACACAGGGGGACCTTCAGTCTCATAAAGCAATTGTTTATGGGTTTTCCAAAGCTTACCCAGGAATGAAGGTAGATATAGGCCTAGCATATATATACACCGTAATAATATGTTTTAGTTAGATTGAGTCAAGAGACGAGTTGAGACTTACATACTTACTACATGTAGCCAGGGCGACCTTCGGTTGCACGGATTTTCGTACTATTATCGAACCATCTGCATGCGAATGGCATTTAGTTCAACCAGTGGTCGTGACCAGCCGCACCATGCGATAAAGCACGGTCGGGATAGTTCAAAGATGGTTGACAAAACTGACACTTGAGAAGATTTTATGAAAAATATGATAAAATTGCCAATTGCCGTTGCGTTATTTACACCTTGGTCGGTATTATAGGGCCCATGTTAACACCTGAAAGTTAGTGAATGGGCATTGTAGTAAGATGTTAAATTTGATTTTTTTTCGTCTTTTTTTTTTTTGATGAATTTGACAGATTAGGATCTTATTCGAATATATATAGGCACACGACAAAAAAACTGTACGTGTGAAATGATCTTGGTTGGGTGACATAAATTCAATGAAAAATATTCTGATATTGACTAATCCTATTTGTAACCTATTTTAAGCTTGCTTTCACATCACAGTATGGAAAAATAATCAGTTTTTAAAAATACATGAGTAAATAGGAGAAAATATAGCAGGCGGAACAACTGACATGGTCGCCACCATATTGAATAGTCAATGGCTAGGGCCATTTGAGTTCGGGTGCTGGTTCAGACTGTAGTCGCGACCATAGTCTACATCCGAAGGTCGCCCAGGAGGGCACTTTCTATCAACTAAAACAGTAAACTGAACATATAGATACAATGGATATACTTATGTAATAAAATATGGGGTTTAATTTTAGAGAACAAGACATTAAACATACATTATGCAAGAGCTAAATCTGCCTATTGCAATTCTTTATTTAGGCTTCAAATGTTACAGAAATTATTAATTAGACCTTTATTTACACGACAAGCTTAAAATCAACTCTGTAGACCCACGGATGGCTTGGATACAGTTTGGATTTAAACAGCCTCGTCCATTTAAAATTAAATCAATAAATAAATGACCAAGCTAACGTTTACCGTTACTCGCTGATGTCACAACCGGAAACTGGTGATGAAAGGCCCGCCAGGCGAGGCTACCATAGCCATTGAGCATGTTACTCAATAATCGAGAATATGTGGGTGGAGTTATCGTTTGTCAATCAAACGCTAATTCTCATAGACGGTGAAGACACAATTGATGTATTTCTAGTCCAAACTTCTAACAGTGACAATTCCGTTCAGAACAAAGTAATTTGACTGAAATTTTCAACATTTTCTTTTTATATCATCTAATTTTGAATTATTATAGCAAGAATGGCCAACTCTTTATAAAACTCCTTAAAGGGGCTTAATCGCTAATATTTGGGACCTAGAAATTGACCCAAATGGGTCGCAACACATATAATAATGTAATCTGATTGTATATCAACTGATTCACATTCAATTGTTTCCGTTTTTACTCTAATTTCAAATTAGTTATATCCAGCAAAATAGGGCATGTGTCTCAACCCTATAGCAATTTCTAGCGTCTGGTTATTCCAGTCTATTGAGCAGGCTCTCCAGTTGAATATGTCTAGCCTCGTTCTTTCTGGTCACTTGTTGCAAATGACGCTAAAACGCACTATGGTACACGAATCGTGTACCCATGGTAAAATGGTTATTTTGTCTTAAATGTTGGATATCAGAAGCCTGCCTTTTCCTGGTAAGATCACAACATCAATGTTGATTTGAATTGACAAATAATTCGTATTTTCAATGTGTAAGACTTTGGATGATATTGAGTTAGAGACTTAGCTACTTTAACTAATGAATCTATTGATACTGCTCAAGGCAGTGTTGTATCAATATATTTATATTTTGCACTAATTTTGCTAATGATGAACATTATGTTTATTTTAAATTAGTATAATGTTCTAAATCATGGATCTGGATATAGTTTTTAACAATGTCTATTTTATATCTTCTTGTTAGGTTATATCTGAGGAACATGACACTGCTCCCATTGATTTAGCTGTGGTACCAGAAGTAAATAAACATTTAAAAGAAGTCCTAGATAATGTTGTAAGTGATCAATCCATACCAGTGAGTCAGATCACTATCTGGATAGATCCATTGGATGCTACTGAGGAATATAAAGGTATTGTATGATATATTCTTTTCTTCTCAATTGTACCTCAGTGACAGTGTCATTCAGAGAAAGAGAATGACCTTTAGAATGGATTTATCTACCAGTCTCTCACACCTTTGAGAACACAATAACTCTGCTTTTAATTGAAGTAGAATGATCAAATTTTGTGTAGATGTTCATAAGAAGCATTTTCTGTTTAGGCTAAGCAAAGATAATTAATTTGGTTGGTCAAGATTTTGGAACAAAATAACCCTGCTTCTAATTATAATACATATAATATATTATAGATATTAGTATATCATTTATAATATGTTGTAAATGACTTATATCAGTATATCATGGTATATTATATAGATGAACTGTATGAGTATGTTACAACTATGGTATGTGTAGCTGTAAAAGGTAATCCAGTTATTGGTGTTATTCATAAACCATTTTATAAAGAAACAGGTGAGTTTACCCAATTAATGTTTCATGTTAAGGAAATATTGCTGGGAGATTTTCCTGTGAATTTCTTTGTGTAGGCATATTTATTTATGTTTTTTAAATTCAGGGGAAGTAACTTCAATTTACATTTGTGCAGTCATACAAGTATGTTATGCATTATTAAGTGACCTGATTGTTTAAGATATTTTTCTACTTTACAGCATGGGCTTGGGTTGGTTATGGCCATTCTAAAAATCTGGACAAAACATCTCCTGAAACCAATGCAAAGAAGACACCAAAAATCATAGCATCTCGCTCACATCCTGGACAAATAGAGGGTGTTGTCCATGAATCCTTGGGAACAGATGCTATTGTCACTCCTGCAGGAGGAGCAGGTAAATATATGGCTGATTTTAGGGTTGAATGACAACACACTTGCTATAGTAAGATCCCAGTGTATAAACTTTTACTAAAGCACATACACTGTAATGTATATACATGCCAGGGTTCAAATTACCATTTCTTGAGAACCAGTCCAATGGGCTTACTATAATCTTAGTCTTCAATAGAAATCATTACTGGAAGTCTAAAATTTGACAATGAAATAACTGAAAGCCCACAATTTAAGTAAAGTGTCGGTATTTAACATCAATAAGCATACTTAAATCTTTAAATAGTCTCCACTGACAACAACTAATTTTACACATGTATATTTACACATCTCAGAAACCATTCCTGAAATATATCTTTTTGAAACTTTATGAAATTTCTAAACTTGCATCGTTCATATATCAAGAACGGATCACATAATTTGATATATTGGTAGTATAATTGTAAAAAAAAGGTGTTTGTGGGTTTGTAATAAATTGAACTATAAACCGGTAAGTATAATTGAGATGGTGATACTATTTGCTATAAGCTTACATCTAACTTGTAACTAGTATTTGGTTGTTGATTACCAATAACAAAGAGATTGTCTATCCCTGTGCCGTTCAAAACAAGCCGAAGGGTGCTGGATATTGAAGACAATAACCATCCAATTGATAATTTAAACATGTGTGTTGATTGACCTTATATCACAGCATATTCATGTAAAGCTGTGAAGAAACACTTATGATTACCTATGGGGGATTGTTCGCAAAAATTAAATACCGGCATACTTTCCGAAAAATTATAACAATATATTGTTTGACCGAAACATATTGCTGTATACAAGTGTTTTTATTGTTTTACAGGTTACAAGACCTTAGAAGTTATAAGAGGGAATGCTGATGCCTATATTCATGTCACTGCTATTAAAAAATGGGATATATGTGCTGGAAATGCCCTTCTTAGTGCTCTAGATGGTAAAATGACCACAATCAATGGTCGAAATATTATAGACTATTCACCACATGACTCCCCAGTTAATAGTGAAGGCTTATTAGCTACTATGAACAATCATAATGATTATCTAGATAAACTTGAACCAGTTGTAACCAAATTGATGGAAGAAAAGAAGGTGAAGAAGACGTAGTGAAACTGACACTGTTTTTAATCTAGATGCTGGAATATACACTTGGTCTATATTATTGTCTTATATTTAATGTTATTGGAACTGTATGGTTTATAAAATATATCAGGGGTTTTCATTTATTATAGGGAATTTATAAAATGGGATTATTGGAATCTTGGAGCAATAACAAAAATAACACATTAACTAGAGATAATTAAAAAATTAACGATTTTGATAAGTTTCATAAATAAATAAATATTTATTTATTGATAATTGCAAAATGGTCATTCAATTTCTGTGAAATTACTGTGAGGGTAGTGTAGTGTATTGAAATCCAAAATGAGAACCAATATTTGCTTTAATATCTGATACTTTATTATGTTAAAGTATTGTACATGTTTTATTCTGAAATTTCTCAAATCTACATAGCATCCAATAAAAAGGCTGGTTTGTCAGATCTTACTGAGTGAAGATAACTAGAATTTTAATAGATCAAATGGAATAGAGATCTAATTTTAGTTGTTAACAACATTTGTTGAATGTTTGTTTTTGTTGGATAATATGTCTAAAAATCCAATTAAAATTTTGTGATATTTTAATGAAAATACATATTAAATTTAAATATAGACCACTTTTTACTGAAGTTCTGTGCCTAGAGTCCAGAACTGTACTGCCCTGGAACGAGATACTAGTCCCAATCATTCAGTCTATAAAAATTCTTGTAGTGTTGCACATCATTGTTAAATGTTAGGTCTCGGTTATCTCATAGTTGTGTACACATTGAAATAATCTACAGTAATTAGTACCACTGACAGGCATTGGTAATCTCCTGGTTCAGGTCACTCTGCACCTTTAATATATATGAAAGTTTTTCCATTCATAAGGTACTCATATAATTTGATTCAAAATGTCTGCTTGTTTGAGCCAAAGGGCATGCTTGATTGTCATTCCGGAATGTTTGGAATTAACAGAATTAAATTCAATCCTGTCACAGTTCTGTTAATCCTGACAACAGAGGTGGTGTAGTAGAATCGTGACCTAATTAAACACAACAATTTGATTAAAACTCAGATCCTATTTCGTTTCATTTTTATAGTTCAAAATTTCATTTTACTTGTCTTTACTACACTAGGATCTGGAAGAGTTATTATCATTGATGTGTTCTGAATGATGTGAGGGATTAACCAATGAAACGGTCTGTTACGGCTAGCTTTTGGCGTGTTTTGCATGGAACTGTGGGTAATCCACTAGTAACTTCAATGCTGATTGGTTAATCAAATGTCTGATGTCATAGGGTCAAAAGCTGCTACTATGACCTCTGACGTGACCTATCGCTATAACTTGTCAGATCTTCATGTAGTGTGGGCCATCGAAAGTATAAAAAACAAAACAAAATATAGATCTTATTTTAATCAGATTGTTAAACACAACGAATTTGTTTCAGCTGTCATGGGCACAACAGCCTGAAATCCCCCTTTCACTCCATGTCACTATTTTGAGGATTGAGAGAATTCAATTCCGAACCGTTCAGTCAAGTATCCCCTAAGTTTAGCATGACATCCCATATAATTTATGACATTTTCTTTATACATTTTATGGTGGAAGCTTAACTAGCCAGATCGTTCAAATGTATTAAGTAGGTCCAAGTTTACAAAAACCTTCATGAAGAATGGTCTAGCTTGTATGCAAAAGATACTATTATTATTAATTTATTTGTCTATGATAGAGTAAGATAGCAGTGTGAAATAAATAGAAACCATTTATAAACTTTAAATTGCCATAACTTCAGTTAGAATTGATCGATATGAATGTGATCATAATGTTTTAAATATAAAAATACTATTCATTGTATATGGTAGTAAACTCTATTCTAGCATGTTGATGGTGCTTTAGTGGGTAATAACTAATATATATTAAATAATTCAAGTGCACAGTTAATTTAATTATAAAAGTATTAACAGTTTATTTAAAAAGTATATTACCAGATAAATCTTGTTAACATATCTAGCTCTGATATTTTAATTTGCAAAGCATCTGTTGAAAATGTGATATTAACGAATGTTATATTAGTCTTTTTGGGGGGTATTTATTGTTTTTTGTGTGAAAGTACAAGTTTGAGGTTAATTTTATTCTAAATAAAGTGATACTTTAACCTGACATGCATTGATAGAAAGTCTTTGTATTATTATGATGTCATATGTGACAGACTCGGCTAAAAGAGACATCGGTAAAAAAACTACTTTATTCAAAGTCCTTGTGATTTGTATGTGACATAGGCATTTAGCTTTGAAGTCACCATATTATAGTGACCATAGCATCCCAAAACAGTAAATTTCATGCAATGAGCTTTGTGGAATGAAATATAAGGTCATTTTTGTGGATAATTTTGCTAGAAATGTGTCTCATTAAACCAGAACTGGTCACAAATGTGGTTTCTCAAAATATTCATGTTACTGTGTATTATAGACTAGAACAAACCGGTACACTATAATACGAAATAAATCTTTAAATAAGGAGTTGTGTTAGAAGTATATTAGAAAATATATATAAATAATTTTCTACGCATGAACTAATATATCAATAGTAAAATAATGATAAATTGATGTGATTTAGTTTTTACATTGTATATGATCATTGTTGATGTTTTCTTCTCTCTTTGTATTGTCTATATGCCAACTAGTAATCTTGATCACCATCACACCAGTTGAAAAGTTATCATCAGGCATCTTGGTGACCAGATGGGTAATTTGTCATTGACATATACAAACGATGTTCCTTTTATATACTATTTTTTAGTATGTTCTCAATCTTTTTGTATGAAATCATCTGTTCTATATGATGTTATACATAGATATAGATCACGGTAAATAATTTTATTGAAGTGCAATAAACACTTAAATGCAGTATTTAATTTGTACCTAAGAAATTAAAAAGCAGTATAAATAGAATTTTCTCAAGAGTTGACTTAAAAACTTTCAGTGAATGATCAACTCAATTTTGTTTGAATGTGGTAAAAGTGTATGGATGAGATTAAATGAAACTAGTTTCTTACATGTTTATTAATATTTTGTAAAATCAAGGCTCATGGTTCACCTTCAAGTAAGGTATGAAGAAAGTGTATTTTTGTTTTGTCTCTAAATGTCAAACTATTTTATTTATTTACTGGCATATGTTGCAATTCCATCTTGAAAAATATTAAAGAGGCAATATCACTCTCACCAATAAATTTAATGTATACAGTTTTAAAATAATGTACTTAATTTTCAAATTTGTATTCCACATTATAATCATTACACATGCCTAATTTTGGAAATTTAAATCATTGTCCCACTTAGAGTAAGGCATTCATCATGAGTGTTTGTTAAAAGTTTGTGAAAAAAAAACTTGTTGATTTGTCTCAGATTACGAAGTTCACCAATTTAACTGTATGTTCCAATCACATTAAGTTAATTATCAATTTAAAAGACCGCTAACAGGCCATAATGCCTTTTTAATAAAACAACCATATTGGTGAACTTTAAATATCCATGACGTTTTTTTTATTGAATAATTGCAAATGTTTCATTATCTCAAGGAACGTTTCTTTACTTTTTAAGTAAAAGTGTTTGGTATTCATGTATCTCAGATGTCAAAATACACTATACATGTACACTATTTTAATGTAGAGACTGTTGTGTACTATTATGTATTTAATGTACATCTGAGTATTAAAAATCTTCTTGAAGAATGAACTGACTTGTGCAAAGAATTATTACTGTATTTGTTTTAAGATGTATCAAAGCAAAATTATAAAATCAGTAGAAACCAATGTAAACTTTGAACAGCCATTACTTAGGTTCGAATTTATAGATTTGAATAATTCAGTATCCAGATATTTTTAAAATGAAAATAATTTTGATTGTGTATTGTCTTTAAAAAACAATATGTTCATCTTATTTCTGGTATTTTGGGTCTTTAAACAATATAAAATCATTTACATCCTTTAAAGATACATTATGGGAGATTTTTACAGAGAATTGGCCATTCTTGCTATAACAGTTCAAAAGTAGATGATGAAAGAAGAATATTTTGAAAATTTCAGTCAAATTACTTTATTCTGAACATAGTTATCATCGTTGTAATATTTGACTAGAAATGGTAGTGAAATGTGCCTTCACTGTGGCTGATCGTTTGATTGACAGGCGTTAACTCCACCTACATATCTCGATTATCAAGTAAAGTTTTCAATGGCATGCGGAAACGCTCTACAGCGGCCTCGCTAAGTACACTCTATCATTTAAATCCGAGCTGTAGCCGAGCCATCCGTGGGTCTACAGAGTTGATTTTGGGCTTGTTGTTTAAATAAAGATCTAATTTATAATTTCTATAACATCTGAAGCCTAAATTAAGACTTGCAATAATCAGATTTTGCTCTTGCATAATGTATGTTAAATAATAGGTAACCATTTTATGGTTTTGTTCCTATTATAAAGTTTTAAATCTATCAGACATGTCACTTTGCTTTTATTTTATGTAATGTCATTTAATCATGAAAAATATTAATACAGCATCCATCTGTATGGCTTTTTTGAAAATTATTTTCTTGAATAATTATTATATTGAGAAACTTGCATAATTATGTATGCTCATCTTTTCAACAATTCATATGTAAATGTGAAACTACAATTGGTCTAATATTATGTATATTTTCATGATTGACATTTGTAAATATGTGCATATTCACTTTTATTAATTCAATTACTTGTAATTTATGGAATTATATATGTATTGTGTGGGTTATTATTATAGAATATATTATTAAAAATATACAACCAATGTTTTATTGTTAATTTTAGTGGGTTTTTTTCTCATTTAGTGATATTCTAGTTCAGATCTGACATAGGTACTATGCGTGTGGGTGTGTGTGTGTGTGTGTGTGGGGGGGGGGGGGTAACTTTATTTAATGTTGGCCTAAGAAATTAAATGTTTTTGCAGACAGCCCAAGCCTACATTCTACAGGATTATTAATATTAAAAGTAGTTTTCCATGTTCCATTGGTTAACCAGATTTCAGCTTCACTTTCTGGGTTAAATGGCATGAGTATTCCGAACTCAGAAACATACGAAAAGTTTGTAGTTGTCTTTATGTTTTTTTAATTGTTTTTTGTGGGGTGGGGGGCTGAGATACACCACTGTGTCCATCTGTTGATACCATGTGTCAGTTTTATTTGTTCCTTAAACTTGAACGCCCATACTTCCTGCTTCTACATCTAATAATTAAGGTATAGATATTCTCACCACAGGTGGGTATGTATAAATTTACTTTTTTATACGCAAACATTGAACAAGTAGTAGGACATTCCTGTCGATCCATCGTACACAATTTCTTCGGAACACACTTGATTTATCACCCAGTCCTTTAAAATATTACATGCGATATTTATGGAAGACCAAACAGCTCTTTATTCAGTGTTCTTAGTTCTTATTTCTTAATTCATAGTTCTTAATTCTTATTTCTTCATTTGTTGTCGTATTTCAACATTTGTACACAAGAATTAACATTTTTATCTTAAAATCAATATTTGTTTTACAAATCAGACATTTATCATCTCAGATTTATAAAATGTATTTTAATATAAAGATAGAATTTATTTTAGAAAATCAAAAATTGGCCTACATTTACATTTCATCAGAGAAATACAACGAAAAACAAATCTGGAACAACAAATTTCTAAATACAATGTTTTGCAAGATTTGTATTTAGAAATTTGTTGTTCCAGATTTGTTTTTCGTTGTATTTCTCTGATGAAATGTAAATGTAGGCCAATTTTTGATTAGAAATTTGTTGTTCCAGATTTGTTTTTCGTTGTATTTCTCTGATGAAATGTAAATGTAGGCCAATTTTTGATTTTCTAAAATAAATTCTATCTTTATATTAAAATACAATTAAAATACATTTTATAAATCTGATATGATAAATGTCTGATTGTAAAACAAATATTGATTTTAAGACTATGAATTAAGAAATAATGACTAAGAACACTGGATAAAGGGCTGCTTGGTTTTCCATAGATATTAACATCAATAATAGTAAGACGATTAAGCCAGATATATGTTATAAATACCCACAACTCTTGCAATGAACAAATAAATAAATAATTGTAATAGAAATACCCTGATGGTGAATATATTCTTTGAAGACTCTTGATAACACAACAATAATAACAAAAGCAAAGAAAAAACATTAAAATATTTTATGTAAGAAATATACAACGATTCTAGCCAAAGAGCACTGAGAATTATCCCGCTAAAATAGCCCACCTCACCATACATCCAAGAGTTTCAAACAGGAATTACTGCCCAATCGGGTTTTTTTTTTGCAGGATCATGAACCGCTGCTGGTACTTCCGACCAGTCCATTGTTAGTGGGGGCATCAAGGAATTACAGCCCATTCAGGTATCTTTTTAGGATCTGGTTGACATATTGGAACATCAGACCAGTTTTTATTACTGCTGATGGAGGCATCATTTCATCGTCGTCGTTAGTACTGATACCATCGGATGCCATTCGTGGTATTTCTACTGGTTCAGGATTTACAGACAATTCAGGACTAGTTAATAGATTAGGTTGATCTGCGAGAGCTTCAGACCATTCATCATCAACGTTTTTGTCAAACGTAACAGTCTGTGTATTTGAACATGTTGGCCACCTTCCTGCACTTCAGTGGGTGTAAGCCACTGTCCAGTTCTTGCTACTAAGAACCTATCTTGGTGTAAGCAGTCCTTGATGCTCGAATAAGGGCTTTAGGCAAAGGTCGAAAGAATTCTTTTGCAATTTTTCTCCATGACGTTAAAGAGACGACTGTTATTCCTGAGAAAGAGAAATTAAGTTGTTCTATAATTGTCGTAAAAAGAATACATGTTTGCACTGAAAAGGAAATTATAATTATTCTATAAAGCTACTAGACTATTATCCGGCTGGATAATTCTTTTGAATACTTTTGGGAAGATCAATCTCATTGCCAATGGGAAATTCAGTTCTCTATGGCATATCCAAAAATATTAAATTTTACTAACTACTTTTATTATCAAAATCTTTGACATGTTCCGCTAACAGTACCAGACGTAGATCTGTAAATAAAAAATATTATACAGCTACTTTCAAGTAATTGTCTATATAGCTAGCTAGCTAAAAACTTAAATGATTATCGAACAACCTACCTGGAATCAAAAAAGGCTTTCTTCTTGATAAACAACAGAATTTTTAAATGAAATGAAATGGGGTTCGACGTCCTACTATTCTGCTCCTATGCTGGGCTAATGAAGACGGGCATACGCCATAGAGTGTGCTATGAGGGAAATTTTGCCCGGGCAGCGGCACTATCGCCTACTCTTATATCGAATTCCAACTGCCAAGGGATCTTTTACGTGCATTCCAATGTATACACGGGACCTCGGTTTTTCGTCTCATCCGAAGGACTAGACAACTGTCCTTGTCAGGCCCTCCGTCCTGCATCACTGACAAGGGGGAACCACGCCGGAAAACCTGGATGAACTTTCTCGGCCAATGCAGGGATCGAACACCCAACCTCCAGGCTAGCGAGCCAGCAGAATATTTTTTAAGTAGAAAAGTACCGAGAGATAAAGTAAATAACACCTTTGTTGTTAATTAACAATATGGATAATAAAGTTACCAATAGATATCACTAGATATAGAATAAACAATTATAATTATGACCCTGTCTATATTATGACGTTAAAACGATGGGAATAGTTAGAGAAGTGTTACCTCCCTTGCTTTGTTCAACGCGATTTTTTCTGAGGAACTCTTTGTGACGGGATGGCGCATTAGCTACGAACACGTAACTAAAAACTTTGAGATACTGTGATGTATTTGTTTTTTTAAAGCTACGATTGGATGCCTTTAGTTTCACCTGGCAAACTTAATTTCTCTTTTAATGCATAGTAATATAACATCTTAAAAATAAGGTCATTTTACACTGTTAGGACTAATTAAACATACCCAGCCCAATATAGTTAAATAATATGATCGGGATAAATATGTTCTTGGTTGCTGAGCAACAGCCCGCATATATCCTTTGGGTGTGCTTCTTATACCTGTTCACATTGTAAATCTTCATTCCAGTCATGCAGCAAAAGACTACTACGGCAAGGTGGTAATAAAGAAAGGTCTGTTATTTTTGTTACCCAGAAAATTTTTCTTCTAGCGTCATCCATCTACTGATGTAAGTCGCCTTCCGCGATATTTTCTACCTTTGGCCGTTTCATTATTGATCAAAATGTGTATATTTGGATCATAGTTTGCGAAGAGAATGTTTGGGATGCCTATTTCGCACGAGCAAGAACGTAAAATACAATTTGTTTCAGTGCCTCCATCAATTTGCAATGCGAAGAGGGGTGGGTAGGCTATTTAGATGTCCTCGTGGTTTGTTGTCAGTTCTAGGATATTCTCGACACTTGTAATACTAATCTTGATATATTTTTTGATCCAATCAAGATTAGTATTGAAAGTGTTGGGAATATCTCGGCTTACATGCTTTCAGTGGTAATGACTATCTGTCTTTCTTTTTCCAACTTTCTAATAATTTTTAAAGAACTGGGACAGACAAATGATGTTTCTAATGACGTAATTGCTGGTTTAGAAAAAAATGTACCATGTGTGGCTAAAGGCGACTTAACATCAATAGATGACACTAAAACAAAGATTCCTGGAGGAATTTTAATTGTGATGAAAAATAACAAACCTTTCTTTCTTTATTACCACATTACCTGAGTAGTCTTTTGCTGCACATTAAACGCAACAATTATGTTGCAACAATATGGAAACAGACTGCAAAACCAATGACCGAACAAGATGACCCTGCGATACAAGGTTGGAATGAAGGTTTGCAATGTGAATAAGTATCTGAAGCATATCGAAAGGATATATGCGAGCTGTTGATTAGCCACCAAGAAGATATTAATCCCGCTCATATTATGAACTTTGATTGGGAATCTTCTGATGAAGAATAAGAATAAACTAATATCTAAACATGTCTCTGATTTCCTGTGTTTTTATGTACATTTCCAGATCTCTTAAAAAGTACCATTATAATTTAATATTTGGATTAAGAACTTGTTACTGAACGAAAAGGCAATCTGATTAAAATACAGATGTATATTTCGTTTCGTTTTTCTTTTATACTTTCGATGACCTACACTACATGAAGATCTGACCAGTTGGACTGGGAGGTCGCGTCAGGGGTCATACTAGTGACTTTTGACCCTATGACGTCAGACATTGATTAATCAATCAGCGTTGACTTTTCTAGGGGTTTACCAGAGCACGCCAAGAACTCGCCTTAACATACCGTTTCGTTGGCTAATTCCTCACATCAACTAGACCACCTGTTATATAACAACCCTTCCAGATCCTAGTATTGTGAAATTTTGAACTATAAAAAGCGAAACAAAATAGCATCTGTGTTTTAATCAGATTGAACGAAAACACTTTTCAGGTCAATTTTGAACCAAGTGGCTTATGTCCCCAAAATTACATCTTGCCCCCCCCCCCTCTCGCGCGCCCCATACATGCATAGAGGATGTGGATGTGCAACGGAATTAAAAAGTAATGTTTTTACCAAGATCTAAGAAAATCATCATTTAAATCAACGTGAACTCATTTCCCGCCAATTTATCCCGATTCACACTGGAGCACCGTGATGGTAAGTGCAAGAGGGCCACTCCATACATAAACAAACATCTATAAGACAAATCTGCTGATAAGATGAGAAAACACATGAGTCATTGGCCTTGCACTCATGAATGATGGGGTGAG